AAGCAGGAGCACAACGCCCCGGAATTAAATTGTTTAAGATGTTATATTTTCGACGTCTAAACGAAATCAATTTGCTTGGTTGGATAGAACTTCCAAAGTTTCCACCTCATCTTGCCGTATGCTTGCGAGACCCGACCCCCTAGGTTTGCCGAGGCCACACACGGCGGATATCCGATGCTGTCAAAAAGACTATTACCTATGCGTTATCGGGCGGAGAGCGGGTGGAGACGACGGAGTGGGGCCGCATTGTTCATTTGACGGTGTGCTTGGAAGTCTAATAAATAGAAGAGAGCTATGACTGTATTACGCTCATTCACGATTTAGACTGATCAACTGTGCGTTACTGTTTAGTGTCATATAGACCGTTCGGCCACACGAGGACAACCGAATATGACAGTAAACAACTGCGGAAACGATAACGGGTCCCAAGGTGGATAGAACAGCATACTCAACGCTCTGTGAGGGCCAACGGCTCCGTGTGTGCACCCTATACGATCATTTTCTGATAATGATGACGTAATAGCCCCGCCTCTCCCCACCTCTGTCAAAGTAAACTGCACACTGAATTCAGATTATTTATCTTTCTCTCGATATGGACATAAATGCGAGTGAAGTCTACAGTAACGCAAACGACCGTTTTCGTCCTCGTGTTGCCGGGGCCTTAAGTTCTTTGGAAGTTGACATCACCATGGTTGCTAAAAAAAAATCACTCTTTCCCCATGATCCAGTTCTACTGCCTTTTTTCACATTAAACACAAAATCACAACATTTTCGCTCTGAAATGTACATCATCACATGGCAATATTGTGAGATGTATACAAAAAAACTATTTGTTTTCTCAAGATTGTGAAGCTGTTGAATGGTTGATGATGTCTTAATAGCAAGCTCACATTATACAGTAGATCATTGATCTACTATTCCCATAAAAGATTTACTTTGAAACCTTTGATCCTGTAAAAACTTTTTCTTAGACTTATTCATAGACTGATGCATCAATGGACAACTGTTTCATTGGTCATAGACAACAACTTCCTCATTATACTGAACATATTGTCCTTCGGGCAGAGTCTTCGGGACTTGTCTTAATGTGTAAGCAGTTTTGTCTTCCAAGCTGACATGCACCCTGTGGTTGAACATCGTCTAACTTTGCTTGCTCCTGACAGAAGAAGCCAAGACTTGCATTTATTTCCCTGACGCTTTTCAACCGAAGCAGCTTAATTAATTAATTGTCATACCTTTGCTGCCACAACCCCATCCTAAGTGGGTTATAGTCCAGTGATCCCATCAGTCCTGAGCGTGGAAGCGGCCTCACGCTGGGCCAGCCATAACAAACCATTGTTCTCCAGCAAGTGGGAATAACTGTACCTGACAGCTCACTACTCATAGCCACAGTGAATGAGATATGAACTGCTGAACTCGTCACAAAAAATATATATTTTTGTCCATTTCAACACGACTGGCTTTATAGTCACACATTTTTCTCTGCCTCCACTGGAATTAGATGAAATTGGACAACTGTTGCTGTAATGCTTCATATCCCGCTTTCATAATGGACTTACAAAGTACTTGTGAACAATTTGTCTTGGTCCTTTCAGGGTGCATGTTAGAGTGACCTCGGACCCTTGAAAAGAACAAAGGCTGTTTCCCTCTGCAGGAATCATTTAATTTATACATTGTTCTGATATTACTCTTAATTGTTGTTTTGTAATCCTTTTTAAATGATTCATCATGTAAATATACAGGTATGATGATGAAAGGAAAATCTTGAATATCAAATGTTATGATTATTTAATCACCTTTGACTCTTCATATAAGAGCATTTTAATCAGTATTTTATAAATGTCTTTATAAATGAAGCCACAAATACGCTGATTAGATTTACTGAGAATGTCTACAGTTATTCTAGGAAACTCCTAGGCCCTTGATGAATATTCCAAAAATAATACAAAACCTATACTTAAACCACTTTAGTAATTATATTTTTAAATGTGGGTTGTTAAGGTTAGATTTGTTTAGGTTACAACTTCTAAATCATTCATTAAAAAGAAAAAATCATTATTCTCTGATTCAACACTTTGGCACCACTAATGTTCCTCAGTTACCCTAAATAAAGATTTTTAAAAATTAGCTATTGTATGACTCAGTCATCTTGAATGGTCATCATCCATTCAGACAGTTCTGGAGCGTCTTTGTTGGATTACCCGACTAATCACTCTGATCCAGGATCCTGTTTTAATGAGACCCCATATTGGGAGACCTCACCATATCCACAAGTACAGAACAAAAGGGCACATTTACCTTTTCCTGCAGTTTGTTTAACTTTGTTCTGCTTGTCGGGACTTACTGTACCAAAACAGTTGTATTGTGGTAATCGTGTTCACTTATTTTCCCAAACAGAATCAGTTGTATAAGATAAAAGGGTTATGACTGAGTCTGCAGTCACCACAACGTATCAAAGAACATGTGTGGTACTTAAAGGGCCCATGTCATGCTTTTCCGGTTATTACCAGTTCCCTTCTGTGTTATGAAGGTTTTTATGCATGTAAACGGTCTGCAGAGTCAGAAACCCTCAAAGTACACCCTGTAGGGAGTAAAACTCTAACACAGAAAAGACCTCCCCAAAACGCCTCGTTGGAGATTTCTCTTTTTCCATTGTTTACTTCCTGGGTACTCTGACGTGGGAATACCCAGAGGCCACACCCACTGCCAGCCTTTCACGAAACAAAGCTTCCCAAACCTTTCAGCGAATCTGATATGTACAGCGTAGGGCACTGAAGAACGATGTTGTTCCTACTTTGTTTGGACCAGCGGGAGATTCGGGTACACAACCTATTCATTGTTGTTTGTGTATTTATGATGTTTAAAACAAACAAGGTATCTACCACGACTGTTTAAATGGGTAAACGTTTTTCGGGCTGCTAAGTTGAGATCACGGAGAAATGCTCTCCGCAGACTCATGCTCACAGCGTTATAAACCTTTTTTTTACTCAATATCAAGCCACACTTATTGTTTTTACTTCGGCTGTGAGTGTTTGTGTGCGCTCAGGATGAGTTTCACTTGTTCTCGCTGTATCGCCGACACGGAAGCCTGTCCGCTCCTCGCAGCAGATCGCAGCAACGAGCCTCTCAGCGTCGCGACCAATCAGAGCACACAGGGCTCACAGGGAGGTGGGGGCAGGAGCTCCAACAAGCCGTTTAGGACAGAGAGTTAATACCGGTGAATACACATACTATACAGAAATGCTGTATGAGAAACCAATGTGGGAAACGCCACATGTCACCCGCGTCATTGCTGATGTGTTTCGCCAACAACAGTTTTCCGAGTGTTTCGAGCCAGGTCTCGGTATCTCGCAGGACAGTGCACCCAGCAGGTGCCTCCAGAAACACTCGGAAAACTGTTGTTGGCGAAACACATCAGCAATGACGCGGGNCATTTTTACACCAGCGACTGCAGCCCCCTCTTTTACATTCCAGCAGCTCAAACTGGGTTACATGAGTTTAGGTCCGGCATGTGAG